TCAGGAAAGCCAGTTTTCGACGTAGTACCCCCCCCCCCCCATTAAGCTCTGGGAAAACTTCGGAAATGTTCTATATTTACTCTGTAGCGGGGCTGGGGAAAAGATCCCAATTGTTGACAGGTCAGATCAAAGAATCATTACTTTTTTCGCTTATACCTTTTTGTGAGTTTTGATTTTTGGAAGGGATTTTGAAAAGTTGGCAAACAATGGATGTATTATGTAGTCTCGGGAATAAAAATCTACGTAACTTACATTGCTTGATCTTCTGCAAAGCCTGGTGCCTTAATTTTCTATCTGGGTTTTCTTTTTTTCCTGCAAGAAAAAGTTTTCTGCAAGAAAAAAAGCCTCCCCCCTACGAAATTGGAGAGAATCGCAGCAGCTGCTTTTTTCTTACATCAAGGGCCCGATTTTCTATTTTTTTTTTAAATAGTTATTCATACTTTTGAAAGTGGTGGCCTGAGTTTCAAATCACAGAGTCCTTATTCTACCCTGTTTTCTCCAGCCCATTTTTCTTATTGTTTGCAGTCTTTTTGTACACCTGGAACTCTCAGCCTCCCAAATGTTTAACTGCAAGATATGCCAACCTGTAGAATTCCTTAATTTAGTATTGGAATTTTTTTCTTTGTACTCTCAGATCCCCCATTTGTTGGGCATTTATTAGGAGGAAATCCAGTTTAGTTGAAATGCATAATCCATTTGAGCACTTTAATTCCCCCAACAGCTGGGATGGTTGTTTTGTAAAGATTAGGATTTTTTAACCAGAAATACATTTCCAAATTCCTGTTTCTAAAATTTTGTGATTAAGAAGCAGTAAGAGATCTAACCTGTAGTATTTAAAGGTTCACTCTAATCTCTTTTTAAGGCTTGTACTGTTTTATGAAAAATATAGTTTTACACTTTTTTCTTCTGTTAGCAATAAGCAGAAAAACCATAGATCTGTATTCTGTTATTTCTAAACATTTAAAAATGGCTGGAAACTATAAAAATCTAACTAGTGTCATCAGCACAGAATATGTCTTTTAATTAAGAATTGGAAAACAGTTTGTTATACAAACTCTGGTTGTTTCTCTACTTTAAATATATTTTGTACTAAATAACAAGTTAGGCTACCACCTGTAGTTTAAGACTACCTCTCTTTTCACTCATTTATATAATCCGATATGATATGGTTAGAAGGATGCATTGTGAATACTACATTATGGTAGTCTTGCTTCCTTTTGAAAATTTCTGTTTTTAGTTAAACATAGTACTATGTTTGTTAATAAATTTAAAAAATTGCAAGTTAAGCTGTACCTGACATGCTAGATTTTGTTCTAGGTTAAGAAGTGTTTGATATTGTTTCTGTTGTCCCATTGATTCAGTTTGTACTTTTAAAAGATGCAGATGTTGGGTGCCCTTATATTCAGACATTTTTATCCATAAACTAAGATGGAAATTTTGTAGGAAATCAGAATGTAGGCTTTGGAGAGTTTATCTAACACAGATACCCAGTGGACAGTTATATGTAGCTTCATAGATTTATCTCCACCCCCTTGGCCTCCTCCACTCCTTGTTTAGTTAATTTAACAAAGACTTTTTGCAATCTGTTTGGAGTTTGTCTGATGCCATGGAAAAGTATCTGCTGATTTATTTGGTTGCTTTTCGATTTCTGTCGCTAGACTGTCTTTTCTCTTCCTTTCAGCGAGGATGTCAGCTGTTATTACTTCCTATTGATCCCTTTGCAAAGTGAGAAGTGAACTAAAATTAATGTCAATTCCACTGCTTGGATCAATAGCTGGAGTTATTTTAATCTGGATTTGCACAGGGTGCTAAATTAAAAAAAATCAGCATAGAGGCAAAAAGTAACAGTTACTTACTTTGGCTGTACCCACTCACTTCTGGTCACCAAACTGTTTCCTCAGGCTGATTATCCTGCAATCCATATTTTTTTAATTAAGCAGGCCAGTTAGTTTTATTTTGGGTTCCATATTTAAAAACCAATGACATTTTGACATTGGGAGTGCATTAACTATAGATTTTCATAATGACTGGTCTTGCCGCAGCTTCATCCATACATGCTTCTAATGATGGTGATGATTGGGAATAATAACATGGGATGAAAGGATGACAGAAAAAACGTAAGAGACAAGGAGAAAACAAAGTATGCAGGAGTTTTTAAAAAATGATAAAATTCAGCTTGAAGCATTATTAAAATATGTTGATTTATTGTCAAATGAAGAAGGTAGCTGGAATGATTCATAGTATTCTGTAAGGAGTGTTAAGTATGGCTTCCATTAAATACATTTAATATAAGCAGGGATAGTGGCATTAGCGGTATATTCTTCTCCCTCTCCCTTTTATTTAAATCTTGGAGACTATGGTTTCTATCTAATCATATGTCAGTTTAGATATAGATAGTGTTTCTGTCCCTGGGTGAATTATGTATAATTTTTTTGCTTTAAAAATAATTAAAAGTAAATATCCAGATTTCCCATAGCTTTTCTCCACTATTGTAGCTTTTGATTTTGTATCTGATTACTTGTTATCTTTAATCATTTAATTGTACAGAAACAAAGGAGAAGATCACCCAAAACAGTGCTGATTAGATTACCCTTGCCATGTCTACATCCACAACTAAAACTCAGATGAAAGTTATTAAAGATTTGAAGGGGGATCAAACATTGTTAATGAGATAATTCTAATCTTTTAGCCCTGATTTGTATGAGAAAGGAAGTCAGTGCAGTAGAGACAGGATGATATCCGTTCATCTTCACACTCTATAACTACTGTACTATCAAGCTTCTGGGTGCAGGATAGAAGAAAAGGAAATGTTATTTCTGAACTGTATGAAGGATGTAGCAAGGATTCGATAGAGTTTGTTAACCTAGGCTTGCCATTCAGAGAATACAAAAGCCACTCCATTAGAAAAGGGATCCTTTTAGTAAGTTTTATTTGCTATGCCTGACCTTCTGGAACTAACAGGCGCATTTTGTACTGCTTTTTTATTATATGAATTTTTGTTGATTTTTGAGTGCTGTAAGGCTAGTATATTGTTTTAAAGTAAGTCTTTGTATATTAAAGTGAATTCTAGAATACTTAATGGCTGGGGTAGAAGCTTAAAAAGAAAAGGAATTCTAATGTTATTATAATGGAGGGATGAATTCTGTTTTCAAGTCCAGATAAGATTAGACTCAAAGTTTGTTAATACATATGCTCATAGAGAACAAATTTAGATATATGTATTGAATGGGATTTATTTTCTGGGAAGAAAAGTAAATGTAGATATATAAAAATTGTCCTCTAAGTCTTAATGGAATATTGAGGACAGTTTACAAATCTAGTTAAGCATGAGCACATTAGGAAGTAAAACTACTGATCCATTTTGTACTGTCCGCAAACTAAAAGGCAGATGCTTGCAAGAGATCAGATGGCACAGCCACTAATTACAATTTCAAATATTATCAGGGACGCCAAGGACTTATTGATGTTGTTATTGCTTTCTTTAAAAACATGGAAGAATACCTTAAATGTATGATGCAGACATGTTATTTATTCCTTCTTCACCACTGAGGATAATGGAAAATCCAAAACATGATATATATCTGCACAAGCAGGCATATATTTCTCTACCACATCTATTCCATATTTTTGTATATTCATGAACTATATAAAAACATTTTCATTTATAATTTTTAGATAATGTATTCATTTATTTTATTGGTATTAATTTTCAGAAGTTGTAGTCATAGGCTTGTGCACTTGAAGATTTTTTTTTGTTTCAATATTTTGTCTGGCAGGAATGAAGTAATTTATGTTTAATTTGTCACTAGAGATAGTTACTGCACACTTGTTCAAATCGTTCAACCCCCATTTTAACACGTGGCTTGATCTGAATCTGCACTGGTCCCTTATCCTTCTGTATGGCAGAAAGGAAGGATAGGAAGGACAGAGCAGGTGGCATTCTCTGCATAAGCCACAGATTCTGTTGGCTTTCAGGTTTGTTGTGCCACATTTTATCTACCTTGAGTGGACCATCTCTTGAATCTTAAGTGTAATGCTAAAGTTGTAAAAGAGAGCAGGAGGAAGACTTGTGCAGACCCTTAGAGGGAGTCAGAGACTCTTGTGAACTTGCTTGTTGGTTTTCTAAAAGAATGACACATGGAAGGTCGGCTCAGGCTTATACAATTTTCTTGCTGTATTCAGAACAGCCATCTGTTAATGCAACTTTCTATGTTTTTTTCCTCCTTTTCCCTTCTTTGTCTTTTCAGTTTTGGAATGGTGGTAAGGCCTCAGTGAGATCTCTCAGCTCTATATCCAGACATCACTTAGTTTTCCATCCAGGGAAGACCATTTCCCTTGTGGCCCTGTCAAGAAAAGAGACTCCAATGGACTTACACCGGGCAGCTTTCAAGATGGAAAACTCCTCCTACCTTCCCAATCCTCTGGCATCTCCAGCTTTGATGGTTTTGGCTTCCACTGCTGAAGCCAGCCGTGATGCTTCCATCCCCTGCCAGCAGCCAAGGCCCTTTGGAGTCCCTGTGTCAGTGGACAAGGATGTGCACATCCCGTTCACCAATGGCTCCTATACTTTTGCCTCTATGTATCACCGACAAGGTGGGGTGCCTGGAGCATTCACCAACCGTGATTTTCCACCTTCGTTGCTGCATCTTCATCCTCAGTTTGCGCCCCCTAATCTGGACTGTACCCCAATCAGCATGCTGAACCACAGTGGTGTTGGGGCCTTCCGTCCCTTTGCTTCCACTGAGGACCGGGAGAGTTATCAGTCAGCTTTTACACCTGCCAAGCGCCTGAAGAACTGTCATGATACCGACTCTCCCCACCTTCGCTTCTCAGATGCTGATGGCAAGGAGTATGAATTTGGAGCCCAGCTCCCATCTGGCTCTCCCGGCTCCCTCAAAATTGATGACACTGGAAAAAAGATCTTTGCTGTCTCTGGCCTCATTTCAGACCGGGAGACTTCATCCAGTCCTGAGGACCGAAACGATAGATGTAAGTACCTCAGCTTTGCTTAACTAGGCTGCTGAAATGCTCAACAGGTAATGCTTCTGTAATGCTTGGGGGTTCTAAAGAGGCACAAACTATATATAGCCCTATTTTCCTTTAAATATTAGTGGATTACAGAAGAAGGCAGACTGTAGAAAATCTAGATAAAATAGCTTTTCTTTTCTGCTAGATTGAGGTTCCAACTAACAGAAAAATTGCCAACCTTCCAGAAAAAGGGAAAGTCTCTGCTGGAGGTGTCTCACTCTACATTTATTTCAGGAAACTCCTTTTTTGGGGATAGTGCCTTCATAAACTCTGTCTTCCCCCTCCGTCCTTTCCTTGTATATTTGATGCCAGTTGTAACAAAATACAACTCTTTTATCCTGATATCAGTGTAAAGGCACGTTTTTGTTTATTTTGCCTTTGAGTCAGACCTGACTCCTACTAAGCTAACCTAACTTCTGTCCTTAATGCAGAAAAAGAAAGACATCTGGTAATGCATTACACAAGCTGAACATCTTGCTCTAATACAAGAATTTTCTGTAATACCCTCTACAAATCCAAAAGTAGAATTCCAGAAGTGAAAATATTTCACGGACCAATAACTAAGCTGAACCCAGTCCACCTAAGATCTACTGGAGCATTTCTCTCTCCGAGTAATCCCTTCCTTATTAAATGCCATGAGTTACCCCATTAAGGGAAAGTAGATCAAGAATTACTCATCTAATATATTGATGATAAGGCAGTATTCAAATCAGGGTGGTTTCTTCCAAATTCAGACGCATACTGTAGTTTAGATATTAAGCTACTTTGCCCTCCCTCGCTTCCCATTATGTCCTTTCGTACTTTCTCATACTGCCTTGTCCCTTCCTTTTCTTCCATTTTTTTAGAGGTGGTATGGGGAGAGAAAAATAAGCTTTTTTTTTTTTTAGAAAAAAAAATTGGAGCACAACTCCTTGGTTCCCTGTTGGATACCATTTTTCTTCTTCTTCTTCTTTATGACACCAAGGAGAGTAATAGAGACATAGTTGCGCTCTCTCCCTGTCGGTGCTGCTTCCTCGGGCTGTCTCCTTGAATTAGGCACTGTGTTAACTTCCCAGTGCTACAAGGCATCTGCCAAAAGCCTGTGCACCTTGTCAATAAAAGTCACCATAAAATCAACCTGCCTTATAAATCCATCGCTCGTTGGTTCTGAAATATGCTATGAGTTTGTCTTTTATAGTCAATGTTTGTGTGGAATGCTTCCTCGAAGACAGAAACTACATGTTGCGCTAAAGGCTTGTGCGCTTTTTCTGTAGCGTGGCTTAACTGAGTGAGAACCACCTGCATGTTTTGTGTTCTTGTTGTCTTTGATGTTTGAGTGCAATAATTGAGTGTGTGTGTGTGTGTGAGAGAGAGAGAGAGAGAGAGAAGGCGGGGGAAAATATCAATAAAAATTGAAAGGTAAGACAAGATAGAATTGCCGTGACTAAAGATTTTTTTATCATTTGAAACAATATGCATTACTAATTTAAATATAACAGTTTATGGATATGAAGTTAATGCAGATTATGCATATTGAAAGATCATGTTCAAAAAGCTGGCTCTGTCAATTAAATATATTTAGCGCACTAAATGGCACATCTTGCTAACTTGCTCCTGTTAGATAGTGGTACAAATGAACTAATCTTTTATGAATCCACTGAACAGTATTTAGAAAGTGATTGTCTCAGAGGTAAACGTATGTGTAAATGTGAAGACAGTTCAGAAGAACGAGTTATTTTTAGTGGTTTGTCTATACAACTATTTTAATGAATTCTCAGATAATGTTGGAGGGGAACCACATAAAACATATTTAAAGGAGGAAGGAGATATATAGAGTTTTAGAAACAAAGTAAAAAAAATATTTTGCAGATAACTTTCTGTATCTTAATACCTTCCAATCTATTCATTGTTGATTTTTCTTTCATTGCTATGAAAATTAAATAGAAATTGGTTTCAGTTTAAAATGCTCTCATGGAAAGCAGACTAAAACTGGCTTCATACCAACACGCCTAGGTAAAATATAAAATAGGTTTTATACTTAGCACTGACTAGGTTTAAATTTGGGGCTGAATATTGACCCCATCTAGTTAAAACTTTAACAGGCATGGGTTTTAGAGGCATTTTATTGAAGTTTGATCTGTATAAATATGTGAGTATCTCTATCCGAGAGAGCAAACAAATCTGGTTGTATGTAATTATGACCTTCAAATACCCTTGGCATATTTAGATATGATTTCGTAGAACATATATTTCTGGGTATTTCAGAATCTTGGACGAGAACACTGTACATACCCCATGTGTGAAAGATTCTTTGTTGGCAGTTTCTAGAATGAGGCTGAGAGTTGACATAGATTTCTGGTGACTCCACTGTTCTGAACAGAACTAGAGGAATGCATGAATATTTGCATGTATGTAAATATGTCCATATCAGCTTTTATAAATTTCTAGTCATTAGCCCTTTCAAATCTGTCTCAGTTTTTTACACAAATAACATATACAAACCTCTCTGTGAAACAAGCATTCTTTTTACCAACGTTCTACTATACATTGTAGAGAAATAGTTATATAGACAAGCTGGTCTGCAAAAGTGTATTGATGGGGCTAGTAAAAATCATTGCATTAGCAAACCTTTAGGTCTCCAGTAGGCACTCTACAGAATATTTCAGCTCTGTTTATTTGCAGTCTTCCAAATACTGAAATGGGATCAGACCGCATGACGTGTGAATAACTTCAATCACAACCCATAACATTCCTTGTCTGGCACTAGCAGACTCTGTTCTTTCCTTATTTGTTTGTTTCTTGTAATTTCAAACTTGGGATCCTCACTTGCTGGTTCATTTCTTTTTAAGAGAAAAAAAATGCAAAACAGCAAGCTTAGAGCTTGTGGAAACTGGCTGTGGGAGGTGTTTGTTTTTTTCTTTTTTTAAACAGGAATGCTATCCAAAGTGGATAATGGAATCTAATGAAGGGCAAAGTGTATCACTGTACAAGTATAGGTGCAGACATCTCATTTTATTAGTTAGATACTAAGAACAATACTGTATGTTTATATTCTCTTGAGACAAGAGTCTTATCTCTGTTAATTAGTCGTGTAAATCTAGATTGATTCCCTACCCACGTGAGAAGTTATTTAAGATTTACATTGGTCAACATTGCTTTTGACTCTTGCCTTCTGAGTATGTTTTGATCTTTAAAAAAATGGCATAGTATATTGGGCTGAACCACAGCCATTGTGGATTTTATGTTTACAGATTTTATATTTTATAGATACAAAGATTTGCCCCAAATTAGTGACAAAAATAATGGGAAATGCAATGTGAATATATGTAAAGCTTAATTTTACAAACTGCTTCTTGGAGTATTTCAGTACATAGTAAATGTTCTTCTTCCCTTTTGACCCCTGTGGTCCAGAAAAGCAAGAACCCACAGGAATTGTACACAAATGCCCTGCAGGATAAAGAATTTGTTTGTGAAGATAAATATTTTATTCAGGTATCTATGTTTATATGTTCACTGAGAGCACTAACCCACGTGAGGGAACCTGGTTTACACTCTGTGTGCATTGCAGAGGCAACTACAAACATTCTATTGAATTCTTCAAATTATGTTTCGACCTTAATGTCCAGCTACAATAGATTTAAACATGGTGTCCCCATGTAACAGATACTGTAACTTTTTAAAATAGTGTCTTTATCCTCTAATTTCTACTGATGCTTTCACAGACAAATAATCAGAATGTATCCTTTCAGGAGAGAAAACAGGCGGAGAGTCCTTAGCAGCAGCTGGATCATGTACACCAAAATGTTCCACTGGCAATAGCGCTGCAATTCTCCCTTCTGTTCATGGGAACTCCAAAATGTGTTACCTTGTACATGAATCTTCCCCAACCTGGTGTTCCCCGTCCCCGATGAATTGGCACCGTAAGGCCTTGGCCTTTATTTTGAATCTGCATATTGTGCTTATTTGAACTGTTTTTCCCCCTTCATTGCACTTATTTAAGTTTAGTTTATTGTTGATGAAACAGACTCTAATTTATGTGTTAGGTATTTATGCAATTTTGCTTCTTACAGTTTATCAGCAGGAGTTTATTTTTTAAAAATGCCCCCATCATGAAATATGTTTTTTAAAAATGGTCAGTTTAGGAGAGCTAGGGGTGGTGGAGAGATGAGACCCCATTAGCTTATTCTTCAGTTTTTCTTACTGTTTTACATCACAGTAGAGAGTGAACTTGTTTGTTGGGCCTCGGTGTTTGAACTGGATTTGGAAATCACTTCAGGAACTTGTATCTTTAAAACTAATCAATGGAAATATTTGAGAAAAGTCAAAATGCTGTTATGTAAGTGCCAAATAGCTATGATTAATAATGTATTAATTCATGGTTTTTCTTTTCTCTTAGCATATTAGACAGCTGACTCAAGCTTCATCTTAGCTCTGGCTACCTCAGCAGAGCAGAGACTGACCAGGTGTTTACACACTAGGGTCTAAAGTAAGGTGGGGGTGTATTCCAATTATCCAACACACAAAATGTATACATTATTGGCTTGTTTTTGCTTCTAGTTATGTGCCGAAAACCTTTTTTTTTAAATGATATTGATGCCATACTTTAGGGTTGTTAAGAAAAGTAAAGCCATCTTGTGAAAAGCTGTCAGACATGATCTAACATCGATCTGTCTTTAAAAGGCATCATATGGAAATGGCTGCATCTATAACAGAATGGGAATATGCATATCCTTGGTAAGTTTTAGATGTGGAAAACAGTACAGTATTGCATCTCGAGAAAAGGGCCTTTCTGATGGGCCCTATATTAGTATGTCAATGGAAACTATGTCGTTCCCGGTTTATCAGAGCCCTTTTCCTCCTGTGTTGTGACCACCCTTCCCCTCAGCAAACTGTTGCTGAGTCTCCTTGCCATTTTGCTCTATTTAATTGTGATGTTGGCATAAAGAAAGGCTTGGGCCGTTAACGTGGCGGAGAGCTGGGTG